ACTCTGTAACTAAAGATTGTTAATGTAATGACGATAAACTGATGTTTAATAAATGTCTCGCATTTAATGCCTGTTTGTGATAAAAAAAAAAAAAAAACAAAAACAAAATATTAAAACATTTTTTGTTCAAAATAATTCTTGCAAAAAAAAATGTGTTTTTTTTTTAATTTATTTTCATTTCTTGATGATTTAACTTTATCTTCTTTATCTACAAAAACCAAATAGAATTTATAATTTAATTTTGTTTTTTGAATAGAAAAACATTTTTTCAAGAAGAAAATATAAATAATAAAAGCAAAACAATTAAAGAATTAATTGCAATGTTTAATAATTCAACAAATACTTTTATGTTTGAAATTTTAACAATATTTATTACATTTAATGCAAAAGATAAGCATAATATTTATAATTTTAATTGATTTAACTATTAATTATTAACTATTTTTATTATTATTATAGTCTTTATAATGATTTAAAATTTTTTAAAATTCATAACAAACCTATTGTACATCTTGTGTTTACAAAATTACATTTACTTGAATCTTATTTACAATCAGGTATAATTTAATCTCCAATTAGTAATGAAATAAATATCAATTTTAATTCTATAAATATAGATCCATTATTATTTCAAGAAATATTTTGCAAAGCTTTTCAATTGGCATTAGATAAGTTTAAAAAATATATTAATTGTCATTCTGCATTACTATTATTTAAACTATTCAAGCAAGACATAGTATTTAAAGATATAATGAAATTATTGAATTCAAAAAACCTAATAATAATATTTTATATGAATGGTGAATTTATTGTGAATTAAATGAAAAATTTAAAGAAGAATTAGATATAGATAAATATTGGAAAGATAAAAAAAATCATCTTCCAAATTTATTTAAAATAGTATTAACATATATTTGGCTTCCAGTATCAGGAGTAGATATAGAAAGAAATTTTTCAACTTATAGAAATATTCTTAGTGATAAGCGTCATTCATTATCAGAGAAATCAATTTCAATTTTAAATTTTTATATTTTAAGAATTAATAAATATAATAAATTTTTGGATTTTTTTTCGCATTTTTTAAGCATTTTTTTTATTTTTCACATTTTCACATTTTTTTTTTTATTTTTTCACATTTTTTTTGCATTTTTTCGGACATATTTTAATGATCATAAACGTATATTTCGGCATATATAATAAATTGCTGCATACATATTTTTGATTGGCCATCGCATATATGCGGCCGCCCTAATCTATTCACATGACTTGAAATAAATACATAAAAACCACGCTTTTCGCGTCCTTATTAAAAATGTCTGATACTAAAATTGAAATAACAAAGCTTCCTTTGTCCGAAAATCTAAGCTTTTATAAGGAACACCTTGGTAAGCTTACATGGTTTACTAATCATTTTGTTTATAAATTGTTCAAATTCATAGTAAATTTCAAAAATTAATAAGAAAGGTCAGAACACGAATATCAGGAGGCAACCGAAGCTTTCGAAAAATGTAAAATTTCACACGAAGAGCATCATAAATTAACTTGGGAATTGCAAAAACGCCAGCATGAGATCTCTGAATTACAGAAGGACCTCAGTGATACTAAATTGTTTCTTACGGAAGAGCGAAGACGCTTTATGAAAGTAGTTTAATCACACTTGTGATAAGTCAATAATAAACGAAACAATTGTATTGAAAAGTTCAAGAATTAAGGGACCGAAGAAAGATTCAATATTTATTATCAATCACCGGACCTTTGGAGTCGGACGATGAAATATTTCGACAAAATCCCAAATTACTGGATCCACGTGAAAATGAAATAGAGACACTAAAATCTCAGTTTGAAGAACAGGTTGATCATCTAAGTTGGAATATGACCTTGTGCGTTCTTAGTAGGATTCATTAAACTAAACTATTGTTTTACAAGAGGCATGAATATGATGAGATCGTAGATAACCTCAAATTAAATCATCAAGCTTGTGTAGAGGAGGAGGAAAGAAGGAAACATCGAGATGCCAATAAAATTCAAGAATTAACAAGAAAGGTTCAGAGAATTGAGAACGTATTCCGGGAAAATATCAAAGGTGAACTTAAATAAAAAAAAATTAATTAAGTTAAAAGATTTGGTTATAACAATCTTTGTTGATTAGAAATGCTTCAGTTTAAAAAAGACAAGGTGACTGAGAGTAGACGGATTAATGAAGAACAGGCAGTTCTATTTCACGAATTGTCTGATCTGAAGGTAAAGTTACGGGAAGAGAGCGAAAGAAATGATACGGTTGAAAGGGTAAGATCTCACGAATTTAAATAAATATTGTAATAAATAAATTATGATGTTATACGCGTCTCTTGTTTAAATTTTCACAGAATATCGAATCAAAGATCGAGAAAGAAATAGTTAATTCTGAAAACGAACTTAGATCAGTTAAGGTAAGAAAGATTTGATGAAGTCAAATTCCACAACCACAAGTTTATGTAGAACATTAGGTCGAAAAAGAGCAATCCGAACTAGCCTCTCGACGTAAGATAGAAATCCTCCAAAGGAAGGTTGAAACACTCACTGCAAAGTAAGGCGATCTTTGTATACTAAGGGATTTGTTATATTAATTGAACTAATTTAAAAATTAATATTAAATAAAGTTACAATGCCTTGAACAAACGGAGAAAATATGATTTTGAGGGATTTTTAACAACTTTAAAAAAAAAAGTCAAAATTTTGGAGAAGCAGATATTAAAGCATGCCCCGGTTGATGATCGGAAGTTGCACTTATTGATTTCAGGTATACATAGAGTATTATGGTTGACTCATTGTTCCATTGTTAACTAATATTAAACGTTTAAAAAAGCAAAAGAAATCGGAGAACAAATCGAAAAAATGTCAAAAGAATTACGAGATTCAAATGTTTTTTTTACTAGTTTCTTCTTTTTGAACATTGCCAAATAGATTAAAAAAATTCATTAATGTTAATCAATATTTAGTCTCAAGTTTATTCTGTAGAGAAAGAAATACAAGATTTTGCATATTGAAGTGCTTAATTACAAGTTTATTGGTTTTTCTTGCATTCCCTAGGAGCTTAATATTAAAAAAAAGCATTACAAATCAATAAAAATTGAATTTAATAAAATTATTTTAGTTATCTCCTACCATATTCATCGTTATTCTATTAAGCAGCACCAGAAGACTTGACTTTGTTGGTACCACGTAACAAACCACTCCTTCTTGCAGCAATTAAACCGACCTGAAAGAACCGAGAATATTTCATCAAGTATAATTTAATATAAAAAATACTAGTGATAATAATAATAAAGAGTCGAACCTTTTGTCCAGGAGCACTTTCTCTAGACACTGTAGATGCATGACCAATATGCTGGTGATTACCACCACCATGAGGATGGTCCACAGGATTCATAGCCACACCACGAGTTTTAGGCCAGCAGTTCCTTTTTACTCTGTATTTGTGATAAGCACGACCAGCCTTAAGCAAAGGTTTATCAATACGACCGCCACCAGCCACAATACCAACTGTCGCGCGAGCACTAGAATTGACAACCTTTTTTGCTCCGGAAGGTAATTTGATACGACATTTGCCTTCCTCGTGGTTATGACCGATGATGGTAGCATAATTTCCTGATGCACGAGCTAATGCGCCACGATCACCAATCTTTTCTTCAACATTACAAATTATTGTTCCCTCGGGCATAGACGCCAGCGGAAGCACGTTGCCAACAGTCAAAGCAGCTTTCTTGCCATAGTATACAAATTGTCCAGTGTGCAACCCTTCGGTAGCAATGAAGGTTTGAAGACGAAGTTTATAACTGCATTTCGAATAATATAAATAACAATTGAGTTAATACAAATGAATTTGAGTCAACGAAGTAAAAAAATTAAACATTTTCCAATGTTCAGTTATACAGAATTATGAATAGAAATACGCACCGATAGGGATCGCGAAATTGGACCTTTGCGAGAGGTGCACCACGACCTGGATCATGGATGATCTCTTTAACAATGCCTCTTATATATCCATGGCGTTCGGCAAAATCTAAAGGACGTAATTTAGCAGCTCCTTTACGAAGTCTGGTGTGGGCCTTGAAGATACCACCAGGACCTTTTCTTTGAGAACGAATAACACGACCCATTCCTAAAAACTTGTAAAATTAAGCTGGCATGTTTTTCAAATAATTAATAATAATGTTCAAGTCAATGTAGATTCATGACTAAAAGTTTTTTGATCTATCATGTAACTTGCAATTCCAAAGGAAAAATTGTAATGAACTTTTAATATCACAAACAAGCTTTGTATTTTTTCAATCCTTATCTAAAATAATTTAAATACTTACCGAGAATTCACCCCAAAACTCGGGATATGGAGAAAGGAAGTTCAATTAAAACAAAAATTCCCTTATTACGAATATTTTGAAGTAATTTGATTGGTTGAAATTTCTGATCAAAAAAAATTTATTGCAGATTACTAACTATCGAAAAAAAAATTTTTTTTTACGATAAATTAATACTTTATCTTATAGAAATAAATAGCAAGTTATAGATAAAATAATTTATATTGATAAATTTTTTTAAAGATTTATAAAAAACACATTTTAAATTATTTTTTAAAAAATCATTTTATTACATTCTTTATTTTTTATATACAATATACGTATTATTATATATTGTAATTAAATAACTAAGTAATTTTAAATTATATGACTTTAATTTAATTATAACTAATCTTTTAATATATTTTAACCTATAAAATAATAACAATATTATATTATATATAAAAAGAATATTTATATATTAAACTTTGCTATATACAAAAACTTTAATTTTAAGTATTGTAATTAAAATTCTTTTGATTAATATTTGAATTGTTGATTTTTAAAAAAATTAAAAATCATATAGAATTAAGTTAAAAAGTAACAAAATATTTCTTTTTTCTATTAATAATCAAAATAAAATAATAATTTTTTTTTAGATTTTTTTTTTTAAAATTCTAAATAGATATTAAATACTGGATTTTTATTAAACAAATGTTTATCTTTTTTTTGAATTTTTTATAATTATTGACAATTAATAAAATATTAAGTTTATTAATTAAAAAGATTTAACAAATTATATAAATAGCAATTACTTATATTTATTAGTTGAAATTAATTTATTTAATATAATATTACTTGTTAATTATTTGTCAAAAAAGTATATAATTTAACTAATCAATCAAATTTATATAGCTTTTATCTTCAGCTATAAAGTAGCATATAATTTATTTAGCATATAAATAGTATACTTTTTTTAAATATCATTTTGTCAGAAATTAATATTTCAACAATAAAATGAATAATTTATTTTTTATCAAATTATATTATTTTGTCAAATATATATATATATAGTGTAAAACAAAAATCTTTACACTATATATATATATTTATTCTTTATAATATTTTAATAACTAATTGATAAAATAATATAAAAAATAAATTTACTTAATAAAGATTTAAAATATATTATTAAAATTTTCTTAAAATTTAATTTAAAAAAAAATAATTGATTTTAATTATATTATAAAATAGAATAATAAAAATTATTAAAATTATTTTAATACATATATTTGTTATAATAATAATAATATAATAATTATTATTTTTTTTTTAAAAAAACTTTCTCCTGATCGTGTTCATTTTGTTAAAAATTTTCCTTTTATAATAATTTTAAGCAAGAAAAAATGTTTTACACTTTTTATCGCAAGTGAGCCCCAGCTCAGGAACTCAAGAACCTTCAAGACAACTGGTGCAGTGGGATGGGACCTCTGGTC